CCCCCCCCCCCCCCCCCCCCCCATTTGTCGTTCTCACCCCGAAACCCCACTGCCCCCAGAGCCGTTGCTTCCCGTACTCCGCCCGGTCGTCCAGGGACTGGAGGGCGCTGCTGTCGAGCAGCGGGCGAACCGGCGCGTTGATGACGGCCGTGAGCGTGATCACCGAGACGATCCAGAGGAAGGACGTGCGGGCGGCGAGAGAGACCCTCAGCAGCGTCGAGGCGGCGAAGGTCAGGACCAGGATCTGCTTCAGCATGCCCGACTTGTCGGTCAGCGCGCCCCAGAGAGGGGTGAAGAGGAAGGTCATCGCCGGGGTGATGGCGCCCAGGTGGCCTATCCTCCTGTGTCGGGGGGAAGATTGATTGCGAAAAGTATTAGGGAGAGATTGCAAGAAGGAATGGGGAGGGGTTACAAAAAGGATTTAGACGGCTCGCAGTCGTTTCACACCAGGGGGAACGATGACGAGGATGACGAGCCCTGGGTTTCTCACGGAGGCCATGGAAATCTGGTCGCGAGTTTCAATACGCATGCATCTAGGAGCGCATTTTTGCACCGCAGACAGCGGTGTCCGGTGCATCGGGAACACGTGGAACTGAAAATAGTACAATAGATGCATACAAATGGTCTTTCCGGAGTGGGTGCACGAGAGCACAGCAGGGACATCAAGGGGCGATGCAAGATGACAATGACAGCAGGCAGCAGGACCAGCTCACAAGCCAGATGGCAGTTGTGACGTTTCACAATCTCACACGGCGACGACGGCCTTCGACTCGAAGAGCCCAGCGAACCTCAAGAAGAATAAAAAAAATCTTCAAAGACTATTTTCTAAGGTAGAGATGGATTCGTTGGGTCATATCAAGGAGAGAAAAAAAGAAAAAAAGCAGTCTTTTGCCAGAACTCCGTCGTCGCACGACAACACGGGGCAGTTGCGTTTGGCTTTCCAACTGAAGTCTATCGTGCGCCCCTCTCTTCACGGCGAATTCGATCAAAGCCTGGCACAAGAGTGCACTCCCGTCTCCCCAAGCACCGCCGAAAGACTCCCATGTACTGCGCGTCATATTGCCAAACAAAAAAACACGATTCGGTACAGCACGCGCGGCCGTTCATGTAAACTCTGGAACACAGCTTTGGGGAAGGGCTCAAGCGAGATGATCCGGGACTCGAGAGTTCCATCGGCAGGGGGGGCACAAAATGTTTCCGGGAGTTTTTTACGAGAGGCAATCAGAAGAACGCCCTCGTTCGGCACCAAAAATTAGCGCGATATTTCAAGGGGAGACTTGATACTGCAAACGGTACCCAGCAGCACTAGTCGAGAAGAACAACACCAGTCGAGAAGAACAACACCAGTCGAGAAGAACAACACCAGTCCATGACAAGACCGACTCTGCTGCGGGATCGCACACTTCACCTGTCCGGGATGCCGAGGGAGTGGTAGTACACCGGCAGGTACGGCATGATGGCCCCGAGGCTGCTGTAGAACAAGAAGAACACCGCCTTCACCGTCAGGTACTTGGGCTCCCAGCGCATCCTCTTCGCCTTGGCCTTCCCTACCACCTCATCACCGCCCGCCGCCTCCTGCCCAACAACCGCCACCACCTCACTCCCGGTTGCTGCAGCAGCAACCCCGCCGCCGGGTGCCGCTGTCCCTTCCACCACGTTGCCGCTATCGCTAACCCCCGCCCCGGAAGCCGCCACGGCCCCGTGCCTCCCCCAGGGCCGCCACACCCGCACCTCCCCTCTTGGCGGCCGCGGGGCCCCCGCGCGCGGCGGGTCGTTCGGTCGGCTTCCGGTGACCGCCGGGATTCCGGTTGCCCCGGGTTCTTCGGGAGGCGCAGGCTTTCTTGTCCACCCACCGCTCGCCACCTTTGGCGTCGCCGTCCGCCTTCTCTTTCTGACCGCGGTTGTGCCCTTCACGTCCCGCTGTGACAACAAGTCCAACACGTCTTCTTGACCACCAACCCCCCACTCACCGCCACTGACTTCACTACTATCAACTCCACCACTCCCACCACCTACACCACTATCAGCCAAATCTACTGCCACTGTCGTCGACCCAGCCGCAGAAGCACCCGCCGCGGGTGATGGCTGGTCGCGGGCAGTCGCGCCCTCCGGTGCCGCTGCCGCCGCCGCCGCCCCAACAGCTGCCGCCTCCGTTTTCACGCTATCCCTAACTAAGCCCGCGTCTTGGGAAGTCGCAGAGGCGGCAACATCACCGCCGCCACCCGCTGCCGGCGGCGTCTCTAAGCTTCGCCGGTCCTCCTCTACCTCCAGCACCATGCCGACGTCGTCCTGCGACGCTAGCCCGACCCCCTTGGCAGGATCTCTGCCGCCTCTATTTGTCTTCTGGTCCACGGGCGCTGATTGCGGTTCCCCCCCCCCCACCCTTATCCCAGCCGTCCCCGGAGCGGCGGCGGCGCCCTCGCGCACACCGACGCCGATGCCCGCGTCGCCGGCGACCGGGGTGGCCTGGTCGCAGGTGACCACGTCCAACTCGTCCCGTACGATTACCCGCGGGAGGGATGTCGGCGAAGCAGCAGCCGCCGCCGCCGCCGCCGCCCTCTCCCTGCTGCTACTGCTGCTGCTGCTACTGCTGCAGCTGCTCTCGAAGTAGTCCCCGCCTTGTGTTTCCACCTATGTTGGTCGAAACCCGTGTGTTCGTCAAGGGAATGCGGAAGAACCAAGAGGATGGCGCGAGGAATTGAGACGGTGAGCTATACCAAGTATCAAGGGTACAGCAGTACGACGATGTCTCGCCTGCTGAGGTTCGCCTGAGCCTGGGATGAAGAAACATGCCTGCCAGCAGCGTATTGGGGTGGTCTTGAGGGGGTTGTCTCACCCCCTCCTGTAAGCCGTAGCCTTTATACCCAACGCAAGTGCCACACCAGTACATTTGGCAACGAGAAACTACGTCGTTCCTGGAAAAAAAAAAGGCTGCCGTTGCAGCAATTCGGAGCTACTATTACCGTAGTAAATAGGAAAACGCCGCATATACCGCGTGCTCGTGCTCGGACATGGGGTTAATGCACCGACGAAATCACGGAAAGCATACCACCGACGGAAGATACCACCCCCCATTCGAACCAATCTTCAAAGCTCGAAATATTTTCCACGACGAAAAGGATGAATAAATCATATGAAAAATCTTCGGAGGGATAGCTCTCAATGAGATGGTTCCGACGCCGTCATTTTCGGTACCGCCGCTCTCCTTGGTGTGGAGTAACCGAGCTTTGAAATCGGTCCAGGGGGTGTGATATCTTGCATCATGTCACCTACGGTATACTTCAACTGCAACCGCTGCTGTCTGCCAAAAACGGTCCTGCTCGATGCCCCCCTGCGCTACCCTGCGCACGTGTAGCTAGGGCTGCTGTTGTGTGGGGTGCAACTGCTTTGAACCGCAGGCTGCCGTGGTGTTTCGAATGTCAAGGGGGTTATTTTTCAACCCGCGTGCCCGTTGGCTCAGGTCGAACGCACTTTAAAGTCAGCTGCTACTGAGTGCGTGTGAACCAAAACGTGGTGTACTACTGCTGCTGTACCGAAATATCGACGCACGTTCCGAAAGACACCAATCAACCCTGTGCCTACCCCGCGGGAACAATGACTGCGGTTCTGATTGAAGCCTGGCACCACTGGCCACCACCTCGGCTGCGATCGCTTTACATCTACACGATCATGTCCAACACCTTCCTCCTGCTGTGTCTCCTCCGTGTTGTGCGTGACGCATGCATCACCCCCTTCCCCGCCAACTTGTTCAACCGCGACCAGCAACATTTTTAAACATCTCGACAGCAGGTGGGTTTCTTTCGCAACAGACCAAGCCACCCAACAGAACCCGTTGAGGTGGTCACATCGAGAAAGCGAAGACAAGAGTACCCGGAGCGCGACAGCTTAGGCGGGCTGCAATCGAAACACCTACACTGCAGCTGCTTTATGTGTCCTCTCTTCCGTCGTACCAACGGCCTGCTTGCTTCCAACGCATGAAAAAAAATGCGCCTATCTTGAGTCACCTTTTGAAGCCCGGCGTTTCCTCCAGCTCCCGTCCTTGCCGCCATCCCGGCTGCTGCCTTCTCTCGACTCCACTTCTCGCTCTTCAGCCCCTCGCTGCCACCCCGCACCTCCAGCAACGACCGCCCAATCCTTTCTCGCAACAAGCCATCGGTAGGGCTGGTAGCAGCAGCAGCAGCGCCGGCAGTTGCAACCTCCGACGAGCAAAAGTTGTGTGAGCGGCGAAGTGTCTCCACCTTCTTCCCAGCCGTCCATACGTTACAACTAATCCTTTGCGCAGCGCCGCCAACGCCGCTGCCGCTGGCCCCGGACGCGGCCGACGAGCGCCGCAGGTGTTGCCTCTGCTCGCCACTGCTCGAGACAGCAATCGCCGTGATTGACGACGTAGTGAGGGACAGGAGGAGGAGAACTACCTGGTAGTAACGCCCGGTCGTTCGGCGGCTAGCGTGCGCCGCCACGCGTCGACGTCTCTTGTGCAACATGACAACCCAGCAGCGAGAGATACGCTGCAAGCTTGCGCTTCGCTCCTGCAGAGGCAACTTTCTGCCAAGCCTTTGGGCAGCACAGCCAGGATCCCCCACTCTCCCCTCGCTCGCTCCTTGTTCTCTCCGACGATCGGACTCGCTGTGCACAGCAGCAGGCTCCATCAAGCCACTAGTACTGCTGTACTGCTGCTGGCGTGCAACCCGCTGTCGAGCAACGGATGCAAGCAGCACGTGATGGACAACGCAGAGCTAAGCGTCTCACCACGACTCCCATCAATGGAGCTACGACAAGCCGCCAGCGAAGCAAGCCTTACGGTTCAGAACCACAAGATGCCCGGGCGCGTAGAGGCGCTCTGCACCTCCTGTGTGTCTTGTGCGTGTCGCTGTCCCAAGGTGTGTGTACGCGCCGGTGCGAGAGGGGTACGCCGCGATTTTTTTTTGTATCACAGGGGGGGGGGGTGCTGTATGATACACGTCGCCTCAGCGATAGCAGCGCACTTACTAGAATGGTGTCGTGGTACAAGGCGTCGGCGCAGCAGCATCGCACTGCACTGCGGTAGCGAGCGCACATGGGCATGGGGAGCTGCTGTTATTTTCTTGCTGGTGAGGTCCGATTGCCTGTGAAGTCAAGGAGGGTGGTTGGGTGACAGTGGAATCCTCGAGAGGGAGATCAACCCTGCATCAATTTTGAATTTCAATTCAAGGAGTGCTGTGTGTCGGCTACACTAGGGACTCGATGGGAGCTCACGAGCTTCAGCGTCTGGGTGTTCTGGCGAGGTGGACAAGTAGAATTCTACAATGTGAAGAAGTACCCGTCGATGATGCCATGTGATTTTTTCCTCATTCGCTGAAGAACAATTCCGACGCACAGAGGAACATGCGATAGTAGTGTGCCTATACATAGACTGCAGTAGTCCCAGGAAAAGACATGTTCCACCGCACTACATACTTACAGCCGCACTACGGCAACAACCCCTTGTATCACACCAGGTACATATCAAAGGAGGTGAGGTGCCACATGTTTCTAATGTGCACCAAGATAGCAAAAAATGGGGATTGCCATGCGTATGACAGCAGTGGAAAAGGTAGGCCGGGGTTGGACATGCTGACAAGCAACAGGCAGACGTGAAACTACATGTACAATATATGTACCCGCGCAGAATCGCAATCCTAAACTCGATGGTTTCTGTCCGCATGGCCGAACTGCTATTACGGTTGGAAATACTGCTTTAGACATACGCATGTCAAGATTGCGCGCGAACAGCTGGATGTTAGACTGCAGTGTGCCTAATGATCAGCCATGTTCCACCGGAAACTATGCTGCATTTGTACACAGCCAAGCAAGGCTCCACAGCTTCCCCCAATGTCGTTTCTACGTTTGCACGAAGATGTCCTAATAATCAGCACACACCCGTGAGAGCCCAGCTCAAAAAATGAGCCCGCACCCTCTACCCAAACACGCTGGCTGCTTCTTCCTTCAGACGCGGCGCGTTCTTTCCCCTTCTCCCACTCACCCTGGTCCGGTGAGAACCCGGCGTGCTCCGTCCCGGCTTTGTAGGGGTGCGAGGTCAATGGTTGAACGACTACGGCATGCACGACTACGAGTATGAGTACACTCACCCACCCGTCCGCTCCTTGTGCAGGCAGCTGCTATGAACATCGAGGCGTTCTTGGCGGCCCAGCTCTGGCTTCGCCCGCTCCCTGCTCAAGCTTGGCCCACCTGGACTACGACACCAACAGAAGCAGCCGCAAGGCGTGGAGCGCGTGACCCTGACCGGAAAACCACCACCGCCGGCACCGGCGTCAATGTTCGTGATGGTGGTCCCGAGGGCAGCGGGACTGTAGTTCTCCTGCCTCGGGCCAGGTGTTGCTTCGTCCTCGAAAACCGCCCGTCCACCACAGCAGCAGCGGGTGTCAGAAAACGCAGCGGCAGCAGCAGCAGCAGCAACAACGGCCGAAATGCGAGCAAGAGGAGTCGCACGTTGTACTTGTCCACGACGCGCCGCGGCGCATCGGACGATACATCCCACGGCGACGGTGGTTCCCGCACAACTAATAAGGGTGTTCCAGACGACGACGGTTACTCGGCACCGGGAGCACAGGAGGCACAATCACGCGGAGGGAGACCCCCCGGGCAGAGTCGGGGAGACCCTGGTATCAGTTGCTACGGGTTCCAGCAAGACAACAGCGGTACGGTCAGACCGCCGCGGGGAAAGGGCCAAGGAGAAGGGTGCCCGATCACGACGACTTCGCGCACGGAGGGTGCGCTAGCGTGCGAGTTCGATTTCGGCTTGGCCATCGCAAGGCCAACGCCACCGCGGGGGGGGCACGCTAAGCCGCGCGGTGGAGCTGGGGGCGGACATCTTCCTCCAGCGGAAGAAGAAGGGGGAGGCGGCGGCGGCGCCCTCTTGCTTCGGATCGAGGGCAAGGTCTACGAAGCGAAGCACACTCTTATCCGAAGCATCGCCTACCCACGAGGTGGCGGGAGCAGCGGCAACGGAGGAGCTGGTGCCGGCAACCCGCGTGGGCCGAGCGACGAATCTGGTGCGGCAAAGCCGGCGACAAACCCGGTTGACGGCGGTAACGCCGACTCGAATCGTGGCCGTGTGGACGAGCGCGGACGAGGGCCGATGGCGGCGGTGAGGGCCTCCCCTCCTCCAACACCACCTCCAACAGCTTCGGCGGTGGCGGGGGGAAAGAGAAAGGCGGGTGCGTCGAGCGGAGATGGCGCCGCGGGCACTGGTCGCGGCGGAAGTGCCGGGGCTAGCGATGGACTCCAAGAAGGAGCTGGAAGGCGAGGCCAGGTTGATTCCGCAGAAGGAACTTTCGGCGCGGCGGCCGGGGGTGGCGAGGGGAGAGGGGACCTTCTTGGCGCAGCGGCGGCGGCGGCGGCGGCGGCGGCAGCGGCGGCAGCGGAGACGACGCAACAGAAGAGACGATCGGGGGCAGGGACGCCGTTCTGTGGGCTCTTTTTCCCTGGGATACTCCTCAAATTCTGGGTAAGTGGGGCACGTGGCTTCTGCGACTGTACCGACTGGCGTAGGATTTTTATGCCTGACTTCAACCTTCGAGTGGAGTAATGGACTATTCTCCATTTTGTCCCGGGGCACTCTCTTGTCCACACCGTGCTTGTCGTCTTTCTGGGCACGTTCTTCTAGAAACCGCCAGTTGCGTTTGTGTGTTAAGTGTTTCCTTTGTCGCTTGCTATGTTTGTTTGGGTTAACTTGTGGCGACGAAAGCTGGTTTCTTTGGCCTGTGTAAATGACACGAAAGATAGTTGCAATACAGAAGAACTCTTTTTCGGACGTGAACCCGCCGAGGCAGAATAGTGAGCGAACACCTGCCAGAGACGGGGGCGATGCCAGAGCAGAAGCTGTCACGAACATGCAGGGTGTCGTGAGCGAAATGTTGGCGCGACTGTCGCCCAACCGCAGCTGTCACCGTGCTACGAGCGCCGGCGGGACATGGCCACAGGAACTGGAATGCCTGGCACGCTCAGGTACGTCTCGGAGGTTTTAAGGGGGATTCGCTGGGGGGGGGGGGGGGGGGGGGTACTCAATGCCGTGCATGCCGTAGTCGTTAGACCATTGACCTCGCATCCCTACAACGCCGGGACGGTTCTCACCGGACCAGGATCTCACATCACCAAGCGCGAAGCGCCGTGAGGTATTCTGCGAGTCGCATGGAGGGTGCGCTGCATCCTGCTAAGGGTTTGTGGGGGAGGGGGGGGGGGTTGACTCACGACGCCAGAAGGGTACAATGGTTTTGGTTATTTTCCGGCCGATTTCGGGTCGCGTGGGTGGCGATGCCCACACCGCTCGTGCAACTCACCAAGAAATCTGAATTGGCGCACGGTCGTACACGCGTAAAGCACGCGCTTCGTATTCACCACGTTGGGCTCATCTCTCCATAGCGACATGCTGAACCCGCTGGGGTGCTTTTTGTGTCTTTGTGGCCACGAAGTGTTGGTTTTTGTTCTGCAAGACTGGCTGTTGTTTCCATACACTCCCGGCCCCTGGCCCCCCTTTGTCCTGACACAACAGCTGTTGCTGAGGGTGAAGACATCGGGTTCCGGCGGCAGTACGAGGCCTGGGACGAGTTTGTGTACGGTTCCTACGTCCTCTTTCAGGAGGGCTACCGGCGACCACAGCAGTGCGCTCTTGATCTCCGGCAACAAGGAGGCCATGACGGCGGCGGTACTGCTACAGGAGGGCCCATCGTGCGGACGCCATGGTGAGGGAGGGAGAACTGGTTCCTTGCGACTGCTTGTTCGCTGCTCTGCCGTGTTGTTTTTTATTGCACGGTATTGGTATTGTTGCTGTATGGCTGTGTGTGGGCTTCTAGTGGTGCCGACCCACCCGACCTGCTACATAGGTGCTGGTAGTATTTACCGTATCCGACCCCTCGGTGTTGTGAATGTACCGGACTCCCCGCAGCTCTGACTGGGAGGGGACCGATGCTCCTGCCCTGTGCGAGTCCATCGGCAACGACAGCGCACGTCTTGGAGGCGGAAGCCTGAGCGACGTCGGTCGCACGCGCTCTCTCACGGTCTTGGCGGAATGCTTCAGGCAAGATACAAGATACGGTTCGGAGGGCAAGACGAAAATAAAGAGGACTCCGAAGGCGGGGTAGGCAGTGCACTCTGCCGCAGCGATTGTTTGAGCGTTTTTGACCTGCTGCCGCCGATGGCTTTGTCGCACCGAACCGTTTCTCGCTGGCTTTCTCCACATCTTCTATTAATAATACTATTCTTCGTTTTCCCGTTCTATTCCCCTGTCTTCCGCTGCGGCGTTCTCTTTCCCGCTGGAACTATTCGACGCTTCGCGCGATCAAAAGACAAGCAAGCTTGCCGTGCCCAGTGAGGCTGGTGGCACAGCGACGGCTTGATGCGGCGTCAACCAGCGCGGTAAGTTAACGCAACGCGTCCAGCAAGCACCAAGCGACGCAAACTTATCTTAAACGACGAAAGCACCAAGGGACATGCGCATTTGAATCGACCAGCCGGCCAACCAGAATGATCGACCAAGCTCCTCGAAATGCATGCTTGCGGTGGCAGGGGCGGGTACTGGAGGACGCCCTAGATCGAGCGTTTCCGCTGGACTTGTCGCAGGGGACAGACTCAACCTCGAGGCGAGCAACAACACGGACCTGTGTGGGAGGAAAACTCTGTAGGCGGTTTATTTGTCTGGGTCTGCCAATGGTGGTTGAGCGTCCGGTGTAACATCGGCTCCCCTTCAGTGAAGTACTGGCTCCCCTTGTTTTTTGCAGTTAATTTTGTGGCGTTGATTCTGTTTTGTTGTGTGGCGGTTTCGACCTCTCCTCTGTCGCCGTTAGGCTTTTTGGCCTGCTCTGCTGGTGGTGCTGTGGCGCCCCTGTTGTAACTTTCCAGCTGACAACACCCCATCGCAACTGCTCTGTCTTCTCACCTGCCTATGCTTTGTTAGGGAGACTACTGTATCCGAGCTGAAGGAGTCTCTACGCCGGGTGCAGGCGGCGAGGAAGCCGGTGCTAGCACTAGCGATATTGCCGGCCTCAACAATTCTTGACGAGTCGAGTGGCGACACCTTCGCTTAGAACGGTGCACGGATTTGTTTGTTGTTCGTGTTGCGTTCTCCCGGCGTGTATATGCTGCCTGAGGGCGTTGTGATCGTCGGTCAGCATGTCGGCGGCTAGACTAATCTGGAGCACATGATGAGCATGTGTGTAGGCCCACAAGGTGGTTGACCTAGGTTGTCGAACAGCGTCACCCGCGGATTTATTTGTTCGAGAGTTACCACAAGCGATATGAGCGTGGTGCGGTTATTGAGGAGACCTTCTGTCAACAAGTCCACCAGAGAATCATGTCGATATTGAAACCTTTCCGGGCGCTGTTTGTTGCCTTCCCGCTTGTGAAGGTCAGGATATTCCACCGCTATATTTTATTTGCCGATACGCTCCCTCCAGTATTTCTCACCGTTTTTCAGTGCTGCTGGTACTGGCCCGCCGCCCTGCTGACGTTACTGTGCTTGAGAAGGCCATTCAAGCACTTGTACGGACCGAGTCTTTGCTAGATTTTGGGATCAGCAACTGACACGAGTTTAATGTGAAGACAACAACAACAACAACAACAACAACAACAACAACAACAACAACAACAGCGTAGTCTACTGAGTTAGGGAGGGATTTTTGTCCTCCTCGTCGAAAACTGGCTCTTGGAGGACTATTGCTGCTTCATTATTCTCTGATGTGTTCACACAAACTACGGCGGCAAGGATGATACAGCAATGGGCAAACCTCCCTGAGCGATTATGGTTTTTGTGCAGCGCCCATCCCTTCTTCTGTGTCGGTCGAGAGAACCCGCGGCAATTGCGAGAGAAAGAACAGGGAAGCGTCGGCGTACAGGCGCGAGGAGATGTACGTCGGGTCCTGCAGTATTCGGAACGGAAATTGTCGTCAACGCTTCGGAGGCTTTGGGCTGTTATTGGCCAGAGCTTCATGTGTATACCGACAACATGGACCCCAGGCTTTCAAATTCAGATCACGCCGCAAGGAAATAAAAGTGTGTGTGAGGAAACATCTGCGCCTAAGTAGGGAGTCGCAGGAACTCACATCTTATTTGGCCGTCACTGGAAACTGGTCACTCTTGTGTGATGGAACTGCTATTTATGCATTGTCCTCGTCATTGTCACAGCAGTTCAGACACAGCAGTAGCTTGCAGGGTATCCGTTCGCGCATTCTCCGGTCCTCGGTCACTCAAGTACTAGGAAAAACACATACCCGAGTATCTTGTGTGTAATTTTTGCCCAAGATAGATAGGTGGGGGCCCCGCAAATAAGCATTTTCATGAATGTTTCAACCCAATATAAGTCTTGACCAACATAGACGTGAAAGTAGAGTAGGTGCATATGAAAGCTCTCGTTCATACCTTTCATCTACTACATAGATAAAGTACAGTATATAATTTGTTGGTTTTGTCGTGAGGCAAATAATCCATTTCCGTGTAGCGGGATCCTGAGCAACACCACTGACTGCTGTGTAGACTATGCGGCATGATATGTGTCGGTTGATGTGAAACGTATATCTATGCGGAGGAGTTACGTAGTGAAATCGTGGAATGTGTTTTATCTTCCGCTGACGCTTGGATTCTAGGGATTCATTGCGAATCTACTCTATGTTCATATGTCTTAGACTCTTTCTTTGTGTCGTACTGAGAACATATTACATATAATCACCAGCTGCGTCAGTCAGGCTGATCGGTGTCATGTTACCGTACAAATGTATACGACACAAGATAACACATTCCCTGGACCGATTGTCAAAGCTCGATCACTCCTCGACGAAGAGGGTGCATACACGAAAATATACGTTATCGGAGAGCTCTCGACCAGACGGCTTCAACGCCCCCGTTTTCAGCACCCCCGCTCTTTGTGCTCTTGATAAATCCAGCTCTGAAAATCGGTCCAGGGGGTGTGTTATCTTGTGTCGTATACGGTATGTACGTGGTACGTGCGTAGATCTACGTAATAAACTGCTGAGGTGTCTCTCTGTTTGGACGATCCACGCCGTACTACACATTGCCCTCCGCTCCGGTGGCCTACTTCTTCTCCTCCTGCTCCTCCTACTCCTCCTGCTCCTGCTCCTGCTCCTGCTCCTGCAAGGGCAGAGAGGGGATGCCTACAAATCCAGCAGTCGGTGCGCAATAGGAGCGATCCCTCGCAGACACATTTTGAAACCTGGTTGTTACGACAAGGACCACGGGAAGGACCACCCGCGTCATCTCTGCGTCTTGCACATTGGCGACAACAGAGATGTCATACAGACGCTGTGTTTACGATTGCCGACACCCGCTTTGGGGAGGAGACGGGACGTGCCTTGATCAAGATGAGGGTCCGTCGCTGTGCAGCTGTGACGCTGGCTTCGCGTCTCGAGACGCCTTAGGGCAAGCCAGTTGTGTGCCGATTCGAGTCTTAAGTACGGGATACCTCGTGCTGGCGGCCGCCTCGTTCCTGACTACGGTACTCCTTGTTCACCACCTGCGTGGATATCGCCATTTACCACAGGCATCTCGGTGCTCACCCAAGACGGCGACCCGCCTGCGTGTACTTCTGTCCGGAAGGTTCGTATATGCACAACGCTCCATATTGTGGTCACCTGTTTATTTAGTCCTACACTGTACACTGCTGTGTACTGCTGTACGAAAGTACGGTACTTTTGTCTCTGACTAAGAGTCGCGTTGCCTTCATCTTGACAGGTACTCAATGTTCCACGTACTGCCTGCACACTACTACTACTGCTGCTACTACTATTGTCCTACAGTACTCTTGTACTACATGCACTACTGCTATTACAACCTGCTAGATATCATTCGTTGGGACAGGTGAGGGTCAGCACGACACATCCTCGTTGTCAGAATATCTTTATTTATTAGATGCGTCTCATGTGTGTCGCATCTCGTGAGTGAGGTATTCATCCACAGCTCTTCTCGATCATTTGCTCCGACCACTTGCCTGATGCCGTTTTCCCCAAGCGAGAGTTCCACGGCCGGCGGTGGGTCCGCCCCGGCCCGCCGTCAGAACGTCCGAATTCGAGGGCAAGGCATTGCTGACGTGTACTTGTGCGTGGGGTTTGGCCTAACAAATAGCCCAACCATTTTCGGGTAGGGGAAAGAAAAACCGGGTACCCCTCCGCCCTCCGGGGGGCGAGTAGCCAAGATCGGGTGCACCCGGTGGAAAGACGGTCAAGGTGGGGTAGGGGTAAGCGTCGGCCAATCAGATGGTGTCATGCGGTCGTTCCCAGCAGCGTCTTGTAGGGGTACCCGATTATGGCCGGTTTGGACCGGATGCACCCGACATTGGCCACTTTTCTACAGCAATACGAAACGCACACACACTAGAAGGTGAGCGAAAGACGGCGCCCTTCCACCGTGGCATGTAGTGACTGAGTGGAAGAAGGCGGCTATAGACTGCTGTGAGTTATTCTCGTCATATTGCACGATCTCAATGCCGAAATTCTGCCTGCCCTACGCCTCAAACCGATTTCTTTCGTACTTTTTCTTCTCAGCTTCTACACCATCGGTGTGGGGATCATCGGCGTTGCTCTAGCGGTTCGGGGGGGGCGAATGAATGTGAACGACGCTGGAATTTTGCAGGCCCTGTACATAGCACTGCTACCCTCTGCGATGTTCTTGGTCGCGGAAATCGCCGAGTTCTGGGTGGCCAGCTTGCCAATTCAGGTTTGAACATGCAAAGAAAGCCTGCACGCCGAGGGCGTGAACATGCATTGATAATCCCAATGTCTGCGCGTCTTGTTTCGCTAAGCCAATTTCATCTTTCGTGGACTCTGGATGCTCGTCGTTCAAAATAACTAGGGGGAACGATTGGCCCCCCTACCCCCAATGGGGCGGGCGGCCAGCATGCGTGGGATGGATGCGGCGGTTCGATAAAAATAGGAAGTAGACGCGATGAGGACATCGCTTCGGAAAAAGAGTGCTCAAGGTCGGCTTAGTTAGGTAGACGATGTGAGGTCGATACATAAGTCCGTCCGTTGCGTAGGTCTGTGCTCTGCAAAATAAAATGAGAACGAAAGGGATTTTCGTGGAATGGTCGATGCCCGATCACACAACGTGAAGAGAATGGAAGACGGGGGTGGGCACT